ATTCTCGTGGTGCTTACACTCTAAACAAGAAAGATACGTAAGTCAATAACAGGCACAACAGGCATGGGAAGTAAACACGAGGGACAAAGTTTCTTGGATAGAACTAGAGGAATGTAGGGGGTTGGTAGTTCCTGATCTGGTGGACAGTGGGTTAGAGTTTATCTGGGAGCTCAGGAGAACTTCCTGGACAAAGGCTTCGAAGAGCGTCAACTTGCAGCTGTCTGGAGACAACTTCAGGTGTGAGAATCATCAGAGCAAAGACCCCAAGGCAGGAGAATTCCTGTCATAGCAGCGGCTGTCACCTGGGGGCACGTCTTTCTCTGGAACAGTTGCCCTGCCATGAGTTTTGCAGAGCTGGTGTGGAGAGCAGAGGGGGATAGGGGTTGATGAGGTTAGCTATTTCTAGAACATGGAACATCACCAGGAACAGTAGCTGTGAGGGTTGCCTTTAACTGACAACTTAAGAAAACCGAGGATGACCTGGGAAAAGATTCTCAGGGAGGGTCTGTCTACATTGTGTTGGCCCATGGGAATGTCTGTAGGGGATTATCTTGACTGCCTTAATTGATGTAGGTAGATGCAGCCCACTGTGGGCAGAACTATTCCTTACTCAGAAGGTCCTAAGCTTTGTAAGCATGGAGAAATTAAGATTCGGGCAAGCAGTCAAGCAAGCATGTATTTATTTATCTATCTCTGGCCTCTACTGCAGGTATAATATGGCACTAGCAACTTGAAGTTCCTGCCTCTGTGACCTCCCCACATAATGGACTAGTATCTGAAATTGTAAATCAAATAAACCCCCTTTCCCTAAGTGTTTTTGGTCTGAGTATTTTTTTTCCCTAGCAACAGAAATGAAACTAGAACAATAGCATGCTTACAACTCCAGCATTTGGGAAATAGAGGCAGGGGAGGGGGGAATCAGATGTCCAAGGTCATCTTTAGCTACGTAGCAAGTTCAAGCACCAGGTGGGATACACAATACCCTGCTCCAATAAATAAATAAACAAATAAACAACCACCAAACGAATGAATAAAAGGGATACACAGGACTTCTGGGTTCTCATTGGGGCTGAAGGATTTGCTGGTACAGAACATGACAGCATGTTCTATTAAACTTCAAGAAATTGGCTTATATGCCTTGAACAAAGTCTGGGAAAACACGTGGTTACAGAGAAAGTAGACGGAGGTCTATTGAAAATATAAGACTTGATCCAGGATTGTAGGTGGCAGTGACATGGAAAATTATATTTTGAAAATATTTTAGAACCAGTAAATTTTCTAATATGTTGGAATGTAGAGTCATGGGTTAAAAAAAGAAGTCAAAGGTGATATAAGGTTTTTAGTTGGATGACTTGGTTGCTATGAACTAAGATAGGGATTACGACAGGTGAGGAACACTGTGGAGGAAGATGACGAATCTTGCCTTGGGCACGTTAAGTTGAAAGCATATGGAAGGTACGTACGTGAAGATGCCTAAAAAGGCAAGCAGCTGTGTGAGAAGAGCTGGGTGGAGAGCACCAGATAAGATGTGAAGCCATTGGACTGATCATCATCATTAAGGAATAATATAACATTAAGGAGACAAAGGAGAGAGGAGAAGGGCAGGTAGAAATCAAGAAGCAGGAACTACAGAGGTAACAGAAATTCCGGGATGCTGAGGGACCTTAGATCCAACAATCCAAAGACAGACTAGTTTTTCTCAGCTTTGAAGCTCACAGGCAAAGACTTTGTTTCCTCAATTTCTCTGAGCTTCTTCAAACAATAGCTCTACCAAGGCACCAATGCTAGGGGAATCCTTCAACACATCTCCGCTTAAGAACTGACTCCAATTTTGTAAAACTATTGCCTGCAACTCGTTTCTATGAACGAGGTGGCACTGTGCACAGCCACACCTGTTTGCTTCTGTGCTATCAATGGCAGCTTTATGTCAACACAGCAGAGCTGGATGATGCAGCAGAGTCCATATGGTACATGAACCCTCAACTACACATTGGTGGAGGCTTTATAGAAAAAAATGAATCCCAGGACTGACTCCTTGGTATTTCATGTCATTAACTCATTCAGGTCTTTACTCATCTGAAGAAAAAAATAGTAATCTGAAAACTAGCACATGTCAGTCCTGGATTATTCAAGCTCTCAAGTGAAGTAGCTCATCACTGTTACCTTCCAGATGATAAAGTCAAGACAGGGAATGTGCCACTTACTTGTCAACTTGACACCAACTAGAGTCACCTGGGAAGAGGGAACCCAATTGAGGAACTGTCTCCATTAGGTTGGTCCATGGCCATCTTCCTGAGGAAAGTTTGGTTAATGGTTGATGTATGAGGCTCTAGCCCACTGCGGGCAGTGTCACCCCTGGTCAGATGGTCCTGAGATGGCTAAGAAAGCAAGTTAAGCAAACCATAGAAAGCAGACCAGTGAGCAGCGTATCTGCATGGTTTCAGCCTCACTTCATGCCTTGAGTCCCTGCCTTGGCTTCCATCAGCAGTGGACTCCACCTTTCCAACAAGGGTGGAGATGAATCCTCTCCTCCCCAAAGTTTTTTCGGCCAGTGTTTCATCACAGTACCAGAGGAAGCAAATCAGAACAGGGAACTCAAACGGTATGTCTAGGGCCAGCCCGCCAGTTAAGGATGGGTCTGGCTGGAAATCCAGGACTGACCTCATAGCTGAGCGTATCCTAAGAGTCACCGCACTTATGTTTGGCACACGGCTGTTAGATAACAGTAGAGGATGCCGGTCCTTTCTGAGCTCCAGAACTTACATGATACTCTGTTTAGCAAATGGGAGAGTCAGGGCTGATGCTCAGTGTTGCAGTTTGAGTGTGCAATGTGCTCATAGGCTCATGTGTGTGAACACGTGGTCCTCAAATGGTGGCGTTGGTTGGAGAGGTTATGGGCTATTTGAGACACAGGGCTAAGCCAGTGGATACAGATGACTGGAATCAGGTCTTTGAATCTAACTCTCACATCTAGCCTGAGTTTTGGGCCTCCTGTTTGCTACTCCAATATGAGCAAGCCGCTCAAGTTCCACGCACTGACCCTCTCCGGTCTTCTCTGCTTTAATGTACTATATTCCTTGCACTACTTTATAAAATAATCACCTTCACGCTGCTTCTGTCAGGTGTTTTGGTCACAGCAATGATAAGCAACTAATATATTCAGATGTTGTGGGACCTGCGCCCTTAGCCACTGTCCTACACAAAGAATCTGCCAACCCATCGGACACTAGTGCTGACCCAGGCAATGGGACCTCTGGTTTTGATTTTGGGTATCTGTGAAGTGCAACTCCAAAATGGACGAACATCTGGCCTTCTCACTCCTGTCTTAATTTCCCGACTAGTATGTCACAATCAGGTGCCCAGCTTGTCTCATCAGCAAACCTGAGTGGAGAGGGAACACTCTAAAGAAAGCAGTGCTGGATGAGAACAGAGCCAAGTAAGTCTTCAGCTGGATTCCTCAAAGGCAGAGGTGTACGCATGCTCAGCGCTATCAGAGGGCTGATCATTTTACACTAGTGGTTTAGCTTTTACGTCTTTCAAGGTCCTTTCATGGTTTAACTCCCAGGTTTTGAAATTTCGGATTTCAGATCAGGCCAGGCATGTTGAAATGTTCTCTGTCATAGTCAGGTCTTGGGCCTTCTTTAACGAATTCAGTTCCATCAAAGAATGCCCTCTCCATCTCCTACAGCCGTGGAATTAGGCAGAGAGTGAGGAGTGGGGCATCACACTAAGAAAAGCAAAAAATGCAGATAGGGGATGGATTCATCACCAGCTGCTCATTCCATCCCAGTTGTATCCAAAACATTTCACCATCCCCAAGCCATGGCGACCTCCGAAGGGCACCACAATGAATCCCTGTCTTGCTGAAGCTGGCAGATCCAGAGACTCCCACTGAGAGAAGAAGTCATCAAGCTCCTAAAGAAAGTTGGGCTACTGTAGGCTTCCAGGACATAATATACAAGTACTGTGGGCGGCATAATGTAGAATTCATCTGCCTCACTCTGTGGCGCTGGGACAGGCAGAACAATCTAGACTCTGTCAGCAAGGTCCTCCAGAGAGTTCAGGCGCACTGATGAAGAGGAATAAGAGAGAGAGAGAGAGAGAGCTGTCCCTCACGGCCACGGCCTCATCACTCAGTGCTAAGGCATCCATATTCATGAACTAGGTGGACAGCTTCCAATATGACCTCCTAGAAATAATGGGGCAGAGGTCCAGCAGTGCCTACCCACCGTTGGGGTTCTGGGATATACCATGGAAAGTAAGACTCTGGGCAGTGAGGAAGAGGACTATAGGAAACCCCTCTAATTATATGACATTGTCTCTGGTCTGCACTGAGAACCCCTGATCAACTTACTTAGCACTTGGCTAAACTCCAGAACCAAATCCAATATTGCTAAGTCCTACTTTGTTTCAACCAACAATCACCCCTATGCCCTATCTGTCCATGGATTGGCGTTCATGTGATGTTCTAGAGGTCCCACAAGGTTGGAGCTACACAGGAGTGCTCAGGGCACACAATATATCATCTCACTTCAAGGCACTGTCTGTTCTCCGAACCTTCATCCATCTGGCTCTTCTATGATGCTCGCTTACCTCGGTTTCTTACAGAAATATCTTTGCCATCGCACAAACCTCTTGGGACTAGAAAGGTGACTTTGAGAGGCAGTTATCTGTTGTGTAGGGAAATCTGACCTAGAACTTGAGATTCTAACTTAAGAGTTTTTCTTTAAGGTAGTAAATGTTGGTTTTGAGCCTAGCCACTCCATCATTTCAAAGCCAGTGGATTTGTTCTAGACCTGTGGATATTTTCCTATTTCAAATATTCCACTCCTGTTAGAGCAGACCCAGCCCTAGTCCCCAGGCAGCATGACTGAAAGGAAACACACTGAGCCAAATAAATCAAATCACCTCTCTGCAGCTGGCCTCCTGGAGGTTTCTATGGAGCCACAGGCTAGCATTTCGTTGCAAGACAAATGTCGAGCAGAGCTCAACAGCCTTACCTGCCTTTCTGACATGATGTAGAGTTGCTCGTGGTCCTTGGAAAATGCCATGTCCCGGAGTACGGGGCCTGGTTCCACCACCTGCACAGTCTCATACTGGAGGGCATTGCCCTTGGGCCCATCCACTCGGATCTGCAGAGAAAAGGAGACGAAAGGTGAAGTGAATGTCTTAGCTACATTTCTATTACCGTGATAAAACACCATGACCAAGGCAACTTGCATAAGGATCCGCTTATCTGGGCTCATGGTTACAGAAAAAGACAAATCTGTGACGGCAGGGAAGTACAGCATTCGCTGGCAGACATGGCAGCAGGAAGCCAAGGGCTCATATCTTGAACCATACGTATGAAGAAGACAGAGCAAACCAGCAGTGGGTGAAGTATTTTGCTTTTAAAGACCACCTCCTATGACATGCCTCCTCCGACAGAGGCACACCTCCTAAGGGTCCCCAAATAACATCACCAAATGAAAATCAAGTTTTTAAATGTCCAAGACTACGGGGGACTTCTCATTCAAACCACTACAATGGCTTTAGATTTCATATTGCTTACAACCCAACTTTAGCCTAGAGACACTCCCAATGGTCAAGGGAGAGGCAGGGAGCTCTGTCTCTGCAAATCTCAGAGTCCAACATCAAAGATATAAGTGACAGAAGCCCACTGTGACCTACTAATGGAAGCTCATGGAGGAAGGAGGGAGCTTTGAAAAGAATCTGGTTTTTGTCTCTGTTTTCTATGCCTTAGGATCAGTCAACCGAGGTGGTACTAGTCTTTGGAGATGAGAATGGGGCTGGTATCTGGATGAAGGATCCGGGCTTGGGTAGTGAGGCAGTTTCAGGTGAGGGAATCATCCCACATAAGAAAAACAAGAAGAAAGGCTAACAGTTGTTAGCAGAAGTATTTTTAATATATGAATGTGGGTTTAGTCACTGAGACTTCTACCCAGATATCACTGCTCTGCACTGGAAGAGACTCAAGGAGTCGATCCCCGAAGCTCCACATCTCTGATCTTCTTTGATCTGTAGAAACTAGTAGCTTATACTTCAGGTTTTAAAATAGATGGTGGGTCCTGAAATAGCTCATTGTGGAGTTCTATTCATGGTCTTAGGGAAGGAAAACATGCCTTGGGCATGAGCCATCCTTAGTCTTTTGAGAATGCTTAGAGGACTACACGATCCCTGGGCCATCAGCAAGGCCTTCCTAGAAATGTTTAGACAATGTGGAAACCACCAGAATGGATGTCCCCCTCCACGCACACTGCGTTATGGAGAACAAACCTAGGAAAGACTTGGGCTTCCCAACCTGACACAGTGCTCATCTGGCCTCTGGCCCAAGTCTGCTGAGTTTCCTGAAATGCAAGCACATCGATTCAACAGGATCCCCACCCCACGAGGATAGCACCATCTATGTAAGCGGGGACAAGTACTCCTGAGGATGTGGCAAAGGGAGAGTCTATGGACTGGAGGACTTGGTGATCTGCTGTTGATACAAGACTCTGCACGGCGTCTCTGGGGGGAGCGTTAGCGATTCCACTAACAAAACTAAAGAACACACTGCGGTCCAAGCGCCACCATTATGCCGTCATTTTAATTGTTACCTTATAATTTTCAACTCTTAAGAGATCAAGGAGAATAAAAGAGTAATTCAGAGGAGTTAAATGATGGAAGGGGACATCACAACTGGTGACGACTGATACACCAGAATGCTTTATTTCTGCCAAGTTCACTGAACTCGGATACTAGTTAATTTTGTGGTTCTGAGTTTGATCCCTTGACCACTATTTATTTTCAAATGAACAAATAAATGTAATTGAGATTCCTCTTTGCTGATTTCCCATTATGCCCATGAAAACAACAACCGGAAAACCAGCCTGAAGAGAGAGGCTCCGCTTTGAGGTAGCAATGCCTCAGTGTCTGAGAGGCACCCCCACCCTCCATTTCCGAACCCCCCGCTGAGCCGGCACTTTCTCAACCAAAATGAAACAGATCAATGCAGAACCAGCCTGGAGGTGAAGTGATGGTTGTGGCCAGTGGCCTATCCAGGCTTCATCCTCAGTCAGGAGGAGCCCTGGAGTGGGAACAGAATGATGCTGAACTCCCTGGCTGCTCTCGGCTCTTAGGCTCCTGACAGACACAGGCTCCCATAAGAACCACCCCATGCTCTTGGTCTGATCCCCATGAGAAGCTAGATTCAGCGCCTTGGGAGTGCTCCTTTTTCCTGCCTCTAACTTCCTTGCCCTTAGGATAGGGTGATATGCCAGATGTAGTAGACGTCCTATGGAATAACCAAGGATCCTACAGACACCAATAAGGCAAATTTTCATAGGCCTGGCTTTTTTTGTTCCTGACCCTCCCTATTCTGCCAGAGTAGGAGAACAGCTGGGAAGATATCTGCCCCCCCCCCCCCCGCTTCTCCTCTCCCCTACTATAGTCCGTATCACAGCTTTATAAACTACAGAAAGAAAAGAACTCATGTACCTATTCCCTTAGAGAACTAAACACAAGACATGAACAAAAGTTTATTGTAAAATTGGCTGTTTGGTGAATAGCCCTGAAATTGAGGCAGAATGGACTAGCTTTCAACTCTCCAGACTCTACCTAGACAAATAGGAATTACTCTTCATGGAATAGACCATGTCTGGCATTTACATCCCATAAATCTGTCGCCAATATTAATACTGTCCATGCTTGCAGGTGATGCATGGAAGGCTAAATAACTCGTCCAAGGTTGCATATCTAGTGAACATGGACACGGAGTCATGGCCAGACCTGACTAACTCCATTGTCCGTGCTTCCATGAGTTTACACTGGACCTTACACTGGACCTCAAACCCTAACACTTAACTCAATCTTATTGCTAATATAAATTTGCATTCTGCCTAGAAGTCTGTGTTATGCAAACATTGCCCTGGGGGTGGTGAAGGAATCAGTCTTTACTGCTGTTCTTTGGGGGAAGAATATGCATATGAGTGACGATAATGGTGTGAAATTTCAAAATAAGGAGCCCTTATATTTTCGCTTTAGACCTTGCAAAGTATTCTTCAATAACACTCTCTCATTGGATAGTCGTAAAATTTTATGATGTTGACTATCAGCGCAATCTTTCTCATTTTACTGATGAAGCAATTGAAATGGGGACTGATCAGAATCTTGCCCAAAGTTCAGGGGAAAACAATGGCTAGACTAGAACCCAGGCCTTTCCCGAGTGCTGGCTCAGCATTTGCCTCTGAGTTCCTTAGTTTTTCCAAAGCCTTTGACAAGGCTCCACATGAAAAGGTATTTTAAAATAATGAGTCTCCATGGGATCTCAGGCAGTTTGACCAAAGACATAGAACTGACTTAGAGGCAGGAAAAGACACATTTCTGCATGGAGAAATAGAATCGAGAACTCCCTATACACTAGCGTTGCCACTAGTAGTATTTTTTTTTAAAAGGCATGGTCCAGAGAAGGGAGCTGGAAGCTTCAAAGATGATTCTAAGCTTTGGTGGCTAATAAAAAAACTCAACAATGGGGACAGAATGACAGGAAGAGGTACTGTCTTTTGTGGCTGACAGCAAGGGAGGAACTATTATAAGGAGGTGTGAGACTCAAGGTCAGAGGTCACCTCTATTGCATTGCTCATAGACCATAGGGTATGGTTGGCATTCTGTGATTAATTATTCGGTAAATGAAAACTACTCTCTACCAATCCAACAACAGTCTCTAAGTTGCTACTCATGATTAAGGTAAGAGACACCACAATCAAGAAAGGGGACCCCAGTATGACATTTTCTACTTCTAGTACCCCAGGGCAGCATTTAATGGGATATCACAGAGCCATCTTCCTGACCACTACACATGGGCTTTAGAAGGTAGGAACACAGTTCAGATGTTAGGAGCTCATGACCAGCTCAGCAACTACAGCTCAAACCATGACAAGGAAGGAGACTGTCGGCCAGTGGCTGTGCTTCAGTCATAGTATAAAGGCCACCCAAAAACTTTTGGAGTGTCAGCATCAACAAACAAGGTTTGTCACTTTATACAATGCAGATGATACTTGTGGGTACTAAGCGGTGGGAAAAGATCCACAAAGAAGGGCGTTATATTTAAAGGCATAAAAAGTAGGGAAACCAATTGCGTGGTGGTCATGGATGCAAATTTGGATATTGGAGGATGTTAGTCTCTGAAGCAAACACTAATGAGGAAATTATATCCCCTCTCTTTGAGTTCTCCCTTGTAGGGATGTGTTCATGTATTCTGTGTTCTATATTGGCAGAATGACTTCCTAGACTGAGCTAGCTTCTGCAGAGGAAAAGTGGTCCCAGCCTGGCCTTTCAGGAGGCTTGACTTCTGAATGGTTGAGTGTTCGTACCAACGAGGTCCGTGAGCACAGAGGTGTTTAAACACTGCCACTGGTTCTTTCCTGGGAGTCTGAACAACAGTTTGGGGTATAACCAGGGACGGTAAGCAGAGCCTCAAGTGATAGCAAGAAACAGATAGATCACAGATCGCATGGCAAAGGGCTTTCAACACAGCGCATCTGACCACGAGACTTTGGATCAGAACACATAGCAGGTATCCTAAAAGCCCTTCATGGGTTACTAAATCTCTTAGGTCATTAAAAACACTGAACCAAGCCGGGCGGTGGTGGCGCACACCTTTAATCCCACAACTCGGGAGGCAGAGGCAGGCGGTTCTTGTGAGTTCGAGGCCAGCCTGGTCTACAAGAGCTAGTTCCAGGACAGGAACCAAAAGCTACAGAGAAACCCTGTCTCGAAAAATGAAAAAAATAAATAAATAAATAAAAACACTGAACCAATGGAGCAAAATTGATGGTACTAATGGCTTCATAAAATTACAAGAGCCTGGCAGGAAGAAGGCAAAACTAAATATATGAAAATGATATCAGAGGGGGGTATGTGGGCATTTTTCTTCAACACTGTCATGAGGATGGAATGAATGAAGCAGATCTAAATGTTTTCTATCTGAGCCCTAGAATGTTCTAGAACAACATTAAACAAGAGAAATATGTAAACTACTAATGTGGGCCATCTATGCCATTAAAACTTTCTATCAATGGTCATTTTGAAAAAAAAAAGCTAGTAAAGTTAATGATTGTAACATTTATCTAACCCAGTATGTTCCAAATATGAT